CAAAACCTTCCATGGCGGTCTGTACTCTGCGTCGGCTAGGCTTAGGCACCTCGTTCGCTGTGTGCTACTCAGCCCTCCTGACCAAGACCAATCGCATCGCTCGGATCTTCAGCGGGGTGAAAGATGGAGCACAGCGGCCTCGATTCATCAGCCCGGCCTCCCAGGTTGCCATCTGTGGTGGTCTGATCTCCTGCCAACTGGTGGTGGTGGTGGTCTGGCTTCTGGTGGAGACCCCGGGGGTGAGAAAGGAAGTGAGCCCGGAGAGGAGAGACGTGGTCACCCTCAAGTGTAACAGCAAGGACTCCAGCATGCTCATGTCCCTCACCTACAACTGCATCCTCATTATCCTCTGCACGGTCTACGCCTTCAAGACCCGCAAATGCCCCGAGAATTTCAACGAGGCCAAGTTCATTGGGTTCACCATGTACACCACCTGCATCATCTGGCTTGCCTTCCAGCCCATTTTCTACGTTACTGCCAGTGACTATAGGGTGAGCTAAGCTATGCCTGTTTCATGAGTGAGCACATAATATTCACCACACATGTTTTTCATTTTTTTTGATGAAATGTTAATTCGTTCTTGCCAAAATCTGAGATGAAATACTAAAACAGGTGTTTCTACGAAAGGTTTTGTTCAGCTTAAGGTTCTCCATCTCAGCAGACTATATCCGATAATGAATTCTTCTGGGGTTGAATTTGATTTTAGATGGATGAAATGTTGGATAGTGTTGATTCAGCAGTTGTCTGTGTCTGTTGTTGCCTGGAGGAGTATTACAGCCTGCCAAATATCTTGGTATGACCTACACAGGGTTTGTGTAGTTTTCGAGGAACAAATGACACACAAATGACGCTAAAATTAATAAGTGAGAAGGAGGAAAGACACAGCAGCTACAGATCCAGCAGCACACAAAGTAATTGTATTCCTTCACACCTATAATTTTTGAAACTTGACTTAAAGTAAGCCTGGTAAAAATATATATTTGAAACTACTTCACCCTCAACGGTGCCTTTAATTTACGTAAAGGTAAATCTCCCCAGTTCCAATACACTGACTTACTTATCAGGAAAAAAGATCAGTACGGATGGCTGAATTGTTGGATGGATAGATGGGATAGATAGAGGGATAAACAGTGTTCAATTCCTGACTCTGCGTAAACTGATGGAACTTTAAAAAAAAGGGTGTCCTGAGTCGTGGGCTTTTATTCCTCTGGGATCTCCACAGCGTGCCTCCGAAGAGCAGCAGGAGGGAGAAATAGACAGAGGAATCCCCTGACACATCTGCCTCTGCAGAAACATGGGGAACGCAGGACCACGAGGACTCAACGTCCCCGTGTGTCCCTGTGCGTAGCTGTGTGGAATGGAGCGTGAAAGCCCGGGGTGTTGAGTCCCAGCTGTGCCCTCTGTCCTGGGACTCCGGTGAGGCTCAGAGGAACCCTTCCTCCGGGCCCTCTAGGCATTGGCTCATCAGCTAGACGCAGAGCTCCCCTTTGCCCGATAAATAATTACCGAAGCCACCGACTTGGCACAGTGTCTCTAGTATGTCACTGGCCGGACCATATTTCTTGTGTTCTCCCAGTTTTACATCACTTCTGATGCAAATCTCCAGCTGAATAACAAATACAGATTTGATTGTTAATCATGAAATGTTAAAGTAAACTAAATACTACAGACCCATGAATAACACATTTGATTATCATATGAAATATTGAAGATGAGGGAGGGGCCTCTCCTCATATGCCACCTCTCGTCATCTCATCTCAGCAGTATACACAACAGATTAAACACACAGCACATCTACCAAACAGAGGCTTTGTGCAGCACTAAAATGACTGCCTGTGATCTTTACCACCGCTGCCCGTCACATTACCAGATCCTTTTGAGATCTGTCTGGAAATTAAACATTCCTAAATTATCTTCAATGTCATCCAGTATTAGTATTCAGTATTTTAGTTTTTTGTCTCACGTATATTCTACGTGTGTAAAAAAGTTAAACCAGGATGTCCCTATCAATCTAGCGATGCAGCATTAGTGGAGGAAATACAATTGCAGCAGGACATTATCTGGACCATCTTATGAAACAGCGGGAATAAAGTATTCTTTTCCTGTATCATCAAATAAAGCTTTTCAATATTGTTACAGCACAAAGCCCAATAAAAGGAAGAATCTCATCTCCACTTCTCAAGAGGAATGAAGCCACCTAAAAACAGCAGACTTCAGTTATGTGTGAAGCAGCAGTGCTGCATTCATAATAAAAATAAAACAGGCGTGAACCGGAGCAATGCAGAAACCACAGTGGCTATGCTCTGCATCCTGTTTTTCACACTCGAGCTGAAGACATCTCACAGATGCCTTGTCCTCTGCTCTTTCAAAGCAACATGCTGTAAATTATTAAAACCACTTAACAGGTCATTCCTATTCAGTACTGTCCCCGGTTTTATTCAAAACTATTTCTGAATTAAGTAGAGGTCAGATGCTCAGGGTAGGTTCAAACTGTCCCCTTTCCTTTGTTTATTACCATTATTACACATATCAAACATACAGATCTGATCGACAGTATATACAGGTTTAATGGTCGATTTAAAATCATATTCACTTCTCAACACGGGATCTGAGAGCATCAGTGTGTTGGCTGTATTTCAGATATATATGTATGTTTTAGTGAGCTGTTTCATGTTTACATGGTACACTATGACTATTGATTTTGCAAACAAATGTATCAACTATATAAATATTAGATAATTATCCACATATATCTTCATTTAATGAATTATTACTATTACAGTAACTAGTGATGATGTATAACTTAGCCGCATGCCTACCTAAACTAATGAGGCTTCACACAGTGTGTACAGTACAATACTATGTGCCCACATCATTTGAATAACAACATTATCATTCAGGGTGAAAACAGACACCTTGTGCCTGGTGAAAATTGGATGCACCTGCTCCAGAACACATATTGCTGGGCTGCATCCTGTTATCCAAGAGAAAATAGATCTGTGCGAGATCGAAAATGAAGGGGCGCATCAGTGACACATGGCAAGGAGTGGGCCGAGTGAGGGGATAAAAGGGAGGAAGTTGAGCAGTTGATTGACAAGAAAATAAGCAGATTGTTTATCACCTCTCTTTAGCAATCCCAGCTGTTAGCCTGCTCCTTCCTCCTCTGTTGACCCTGGCTTTTATTCTGAAATACAAAAGATTCCATTCATTTTTTGACTACTGGGCCACATTTGAATAAAAATGAGTGTTGTTGTAAGCATAATGTCCTTCAAACTGATCCCAAAGCTTACATAATTCCAGTAGAGTTGATTTACAACTATTTGTTGTTTTGAACCTCCCACTTGCCACAATTGTATCAGCACTATCGCTGTACGAACCTCAATTACCAAAATAAATGCCCGAAGATATCAATATTGACACTCGAGTTGTGTGAAGACAATATTTCTGGCACTGGTGAGAAAGTAGGTACTTTTTATGGTGTATAGGATTTCTCTCAGCATTTTGTCAGTCTAAAATATATGTTTACTCACAGTATCTCAAACACAAATTACTGAGTATCACTGAGTAATATCTGTGAAATTCTCCCCTCTTCACTTCCCCAGGTGCAGACAACCACCATGTGCATCTCTGTCAGTCTGAGCGGGTCGGTGGTGTTGGGCTGCCTCTTCGCTCCGAAGGTCCACATCGTTCTGTTCCAGCCGCAGAAGAACACCAGCACTCTCCGAGTGGCCACCACCCGCTTCAGCGTCACCGCTGGCCCGGGCTCCAGTTTCTCTCAAGGTACCACCTGATGCACAACGGCATTGTCGCAGCTACTGCTGAGCTCATTGCCAAAAGCACTACTCAAAACTAAACGGAAATGTGAGGTCGTAACAATTATTCACAACTACTTTAGTGTCTCTGCCATGTTTCTGTAACTCATCTAACATTTGCCATTTTATCCTCTCTACCTTTTTCCAAATCATGGATGGTTCAGATCAGGCAAATCAGAAAGGATGAACCGTTTGTCTGTTTGTCCATTTTGTTCCATTATACACACTTCCACCAAATGTTCCACTCGCCAAAACACAGAATCTTTCTGTCGTTTAGATAAATCAGAGAAAAAGTCCATGCCGGTGTGAATGTGAAATTATGATGTTACCGCATACACCTACACATACACAGCATATGACTTCATTTCATGGAATTCATTACTAGATAATCATACCGCTGATTCACGTGTAGAAACAGTAACTCAATGAGAAAGGGTCTGCAGGGTTATGTGGAATAGTTTATATCCTGTAGCTATATTGGTTATTTAAATATAAAATAACTTCTTTTTTTTACAACGCTTTGCAGCATCAGCCTCCAATGTTGTTCCAACAGTGTGTAACGGGCGAGAGGTGGTGGACTCCACAACGTCCTCCTTGTGAACATCAGCTGAGTTCCTCGGCCAAACATTGTAAACAGAGTTATATAATCACTAGTCCTGAATCAGGTGTCTCAGATATTAAAGAGGTCATACAGACGATTGTTCTGACTTTGTTGTCCTCGAAGTGCTGTGAGTACAATGTTCCAATTATTTTATTTTGTTCTTTGACTCGTAGCGATTTGAAATGGGATACCATTAAAGTCGCGTATAACCCTTGTTTTTATTGAAGATTCAACTTGCAACAATGGAGTAAATTATGGTAAATCTGTTAAATGTAATATATACAAGACGTTTTGATGTAGACTTTGGTGAATCAGTTTGTGCTTTCTTGTAATTTATGTAAATAAAATGTGTTTTCTACTAATACCAAAATGACTTACTGGCTGAATGTTTATTTGCAAATAATCATGAGATGCTTATCTTGACCTTGTAAACAGTGAGAATGGATATAATATGTAATATACACCGGCCTGCATAATGCGGCAGGCAGAAATAAAATATGTAATATGCTGAATTGAATGCATATATTGTTATTTTCGACTACATAGCGTAAATTACTCTGAGCTTCTTTACTTTGCCTCTAATTCACCTGTTCACACGGCTCACACAATGAGGATGACAGAGCTGTCATAGCTGCCATCCGGAGTAAATTTGCAGTTCAGCGTCTTGCTCTTGGACGCTTCATCATTAGGACGGAGGCAGCTAGGATCCAACCATCAACTGTGTGATGAGTCAATGCTTCTTCTCCTCCTCAGCCACAGCTGCAAAAAAAGTAATATATGAAGGTATGACTTCAAAATATATAGTGATGTAAAATTCATTTTTGAAGTAATCTTGGTTTGAAATTTGACCTGTTTAAAATATATACGCTTCATCCGCTGATATAGGATTAAATAACAGCATTAGGCAGATGCTGTGGAAAATAGGCCGGTGAACCATTAGTGATTTAACACTGCCATCTTGTGTCCAAATTGTTTGATCTAACATTGCACTTCTCCGCATGTATGGAGCCTTGAGGCTCGCTTTAAGTAGATCATTTGCCTCTGAATTGGAGTATTATAAGATCTGCTCACTGGTCATCATCAAATTACTGGATCAAATTAACCAGGAACACCCTGCAGTGATTGAAAGAAGTTAAAAGTAAAAATATATATATATAAAATCTTTAATAAGTCAACTTATATATGCATATTAACCATAAACGCTACTCAGATGTGCGTTAATGATCACACCCCATAGTGGCATTCTCTGGTGTTTTTGTGCATCTAATAAAAACAAAAGCTGCACGATAAATTAGATGATAGATGGATTTTAGGATTACATTGGAATTAACAGCGATTGCAAAGAGGAGTAAAGGAAGAATACTTTCATGATTCATGATTTAATACCGAAGTGATGTCATACACATAGGATAAAAAAAACGACGTGTGGAAAAATGCATCGTTTTAATATGACGAATAGAGGACAAGGTTGTCCAATCTGTTTTAATCAAAGTTAAGGAAAAATCGTTAAGGAAAGAGATCACTACCTGAGTGAAGGAGCTAGGTGGCGGTAGCCGTCGGACTTCACCAGCTGCTGCTGCGAGAAGCGAAACTCCGGCCCGAGCTCCACCTCTTCCTCCGCACCGACTGGATGATGTAAACCTCCCGGGGATCCGAGGCGCCGTTCACCTTCTTTCCGGTTACAGCTCCTGCAGAGAGAAGGACGGTGTCTCTCCACCGCCAACTTCCCTCCCCGACTGGCTGATACTATTAAAAATTAAAAGGTGAGTTACAGTTTATGTTCAGGTCCTCTTTAGGATAAACTGTGGAGAGGGAGGTTTCTAAAGCTTCCTTGTTCCGAATCTCACCATCGTTGTATTATTGTGCGTTTTTAATTAATACTTGTGGCGGTGTGTAGTAACAGCATGGTGATACCTTGCATGGTATCACCATGTTGTTGTTACTACACGCGATCAATGTTTTGGTGAACAGCTGAATATAGTTAGCTGCTAAGTGAAGGCATGTCTGCACTTGTCCAGGACTGCGGTCAACTCAGCCGACGCTTGAATTGTAGTGCACGTATATGCTGCTATTTACGGTATTGAACAAGTAACCCGAAAAGTAACCGGAATAAAAGCTGTTTTAATCAAATATTCTTGACAATGACTGAAGTATGTGTGTTCAGGACCATTCTGACTACTATTATACAAAAAAAAGAATACTTTTACTGTACAAAGTTAGATAATTATCCTGTATTTCAAGTTCAAAAAGACCATTTCTCAAGTTTGAACTGCAATAAAAATACTTTTCTCAATAATTCCAGTCAAAGACTAACATACATGTGTTAAGGACATATCTGACTACTACCATGCTGAACTTGCTGCTGAAACAATTTTACTGTACAGATTTGGAGATTTCTTCAAAGTAAAAGCCCTATAATTGCATGTTCAAAAACACCCTTTCTTAAAATTTGAAATGCAATAAAAACAGATTTATCAATAATTCCAGACAAAGATGTACGTTTATCCGTACAACACTTTCATGACAATAAATTTACTGAATATTTTGTATTTACAAGTTAAAGATTCTCGAAAGTAAACATTCGTCTAACATTTATACATTCATGGACATCTTAGATCTTAGTAAAAAAATAAAATGACACTTTAGTAGGTTCTTTGACACAATTAAGAAACGTGAATCCTAATATGGGGGGTCTAGACAGAACAGACCTGGGCGGCAGATGCTGGCTCTGGGAACGGGGAATGTAACCACTCTGGGGGGTAAGGAACCGGAGCTTGTGCGGGAGGTGGAGCGTTATCAGTTGGATATGGTGGGGCTTACCTCTACGCACAGCCTCGGCTCTGGAACCACACTACTGGATGGGGGATTGACTCTATTCTACTCCGGAGTGGCCCATGGTGTGAGGCGCCAGGCGGGTGTGGGGATACTCATAAGTCCCCAGCTGAGTGCTGCTACATTGGACTTTACCTCAGTGGACAAAAGGGTCACCTCCCTACGCCTTCGGGTGATGGGGGGGAAAACTCTGACTGTTGTGTGTGTATGCACCAAACAGCAGCTCAGAGTATTCAGCCTTTTTGGAAACCCTGAATGGAGTCCTGGCTCCAGTAGGGGACCCCATAGTCCTACTGGGAGACTTCAATGCGCACGTGGGCGACGATGGAGATGACTGGAGAGGCGTGATTGGGAGGAATGGCCTCCCTGATCTGAACCCGAGCGGTTGTTTGTTATTGGACTTCTGTGCCAGTCACGGATTGTCCATAACAAACACCATGTTCGAACATAAGGATGTTCATAAGTGTTAGGGGTGGGAATCTCTTGGCACCTCACGATTCGATTCGATTCCGATTCAGAGGTCAACGATTCAATTCTAAACCGATTATCGATTCTAAACCGATAAAACGATTATCGATGCATCTCGATTTTCTAAATATTGCTACTCAGAGGTTGCTAATCACTTCCTACTTTATCTGATAGTTAAAGAAGATCAACAGATGAATTACCTTCTCTAATGTTTTATAAGAGAAAAAAAAATCTTTGTCACAAATATGATTTTCTATCAACAATGCAAGAACCAATGCAGCTTGCATTTCAACACAATATACAATAAGTACCCTATGTAAAAAAAAAAAGTAAAAACAGATACATTTTTCTTTTAAATTAAGAAAAAGCTGCTCTTAGTCTCAGACCGGTCCGTATTTGTAAAATACTGGAAAAAAAGTCCACATCTTGCCAACTTTCAATACGGATCGACTTTTTGGAAAATCAAAATAATGAGGTAAGATATGCGCAGGCTCCTCCATAGTTCGGTAAATTTATTAGATATTCACAGATTCAGACTGACGGACCGGTCTGCGAGCGGGACGCATTGCTCTTAATGTCCCGGAAATGATGGTTGTAGCTGGTTGTCATCTACGGTCCACTATGATTACCGAAGGGGGGCGTTTGTTTTTTGACAACGTTTTATCTCATAATTTCGACTTTCTATTCCCTTTCTATAGTGCAGAAATGGGCTTCTATAGTTGTGTGAACGCACAACTCCAGCCAATCCAAAGACGGGATTTGTAACCAATCAGATGTAGATAACATGGTGACTGGCTCCACCCCCTTGCGGTCAAAAAGAAAAACAGCGAGCGCGTGGAAAACACCTTCTGGGACAGGCGAAGAAATTTCATTTTTTAAATTCAGATTATTAACCTATCTGAATCGAGACCGAGTCGTTCTAGAGAGAATCCAGAGAAATCGAAAAATCAATTTTTTCCCCCACCCCTAATAAGTGTACGTGGTACCAGAGCACCCTAGGCCAAACATCAATGATCGATTTTGTAATCGTATCGTCTGATCTGAGGCCGCATGACACTTGGGTAAAGAGAGGGGCAGAGCTGTCAACTGATCACCATCTGGTTGTGAGCTGGGTCAGAGGATGGGGGAAGACTCGGGACAGACCCAGTAAACCCAAGCGTGTAGTGAGGGTGAACTGGGAACGTCTGGAGGAGGCCCCGGTCAAAAAGATTTTCAACAGCAGAGCTTCTCTCACATTCCTGTGGAGGTAGGGGACATTGAACCAGAGTGGTGTATGCTCAAAACTTCCATTGCTGAAGCTGCGCCAGTGAGTTGTGGCCTGAAGGTCTTCGGTGCATCAAGGGGTGGTGCCCTTCGAACCCCGTGGTGGACACTGGTGGTCAGGGAAGCCGTCCGACTGAAGGAGGCCTTCCGGGTTATGATATCTGGTGGGACTCCAGAGTCAGTGTACCGACAGGCTCGGAGGGCAGCAGCCTCTGCCGTGATGGAGGCAAAGCAGCGAGTATGGGAGGAGTTCGGAGTAACTATGGAGAAGGACTTTCGGTCTGCACCAAAGTGCTTCTCGAAGACCATCCGGCACCTCAGTAGGGGGAAACGGGGAACCATCCAAGCTGTGTACAGTAAGGATGGGACCCTGTTAACCACGACTGAGGTCATTGGGCGATGGAAGGAACACTTTGAGGAACTCCTGAATCCAACTACTGACCCCTCTTTGATAGAGGCGGAGCTGGAGGCAGAAGAGGGATCATCGTCAATTTGCCTGGTGGAGGTCACTGAGGTAGTCAAACAACTCTGCAGTGGCAAAGCCCAGAGGATTGATGAGATCCGTCCAGAGATGCTAAAAGCAATGGGTGTTGGGGGCTGTCTTTGATAACACGCCTCTTCAACATTGCGTGTGCGTGTCTGGGACAGTGGGGGAGGAGGGTCTACAGTACAGGGGGTTGCGGATCTCATCGCTGCTTTTTGCAGATGATGTGGTCCTGATGGCATCTTCTGTGACCTCCAACTCTCACTGAAGCGTTTCGCAGTGTCTGGCGTCTCCCTTACAGATAGGGTGAGAAGCTCAGCTATTCGTGAGGAGCTCAGAGTAGAGCCGCTGCTCCTTTGTGTCAAAAGGAGCCAGTTGAGGTTGTTTGGGCATCTGTTGAGGATGCCCCCTCGGTGCCTCCCTAGGGAGGTGTTCCAGGCACGGCCAGCTGGGAAGAGGCCCCGGGAAGACCCAGCACTAGGTGGAGAGATTATATGTCCGCAGTGGCCTGGGAACGCCTTGGGATCTCCCAGTCAGAGCTGGTAGATGTGACCTGGAAAAGGGAAGTTTGGGGTCTGAGCGGTTTTAGATGGATGGATGGAATCCTAACATTTTTTGGATAACTTAAAAAGGTTTTAGAACTTTGAATATATGAAATCCTGAACATCAAACATGTTCACAAATAACCGTAAAGTACCAAAACTATTACAAACCAAGACAACAATTCCAATTTAACTGCATTTTTAAGACTTTTGTAGTCTATTTGGAGTAGGGGTGTAAGGATTCATTTTAACTTTAACGTGTAGCGATTCATGGTTGCCGATTCGATTCATGGACGATCTGGGTTCATTTAGAACGATTTGATTCAGTGACATAAAATCGATTCAGTATCTTTACTGTACAGTGCAGGCAAAGTTTCCGAGATCCCTATTGTTTCTTGTAAGGAAATCAGGTTTGAATTAATTATGGATATTATAAACAAGCAAACAACAATTAATAGCAAACGTATTAACCTTCTATTGTGCAACCATTTTCAATGTAAACATTACGAAAAATAATTACAAAATGTTTGGATCAATTCACAGAACCCTGGATATTCAATTATATTGTAGGGTCGCATGTCTTTACAGATAGACTTGGCAATTGTTACTGTGATGTTGAGTTTCGTGCTGGCGAGGCCTGAGGTGTCTGCAGAGCTGGAGTTACCTGCTGCTGCTGGTTCGTACGCACTGATGACGTCACAGAAAGGCAGACTGAATCGAGTAACGTTTAACGTGTCTAAAGTGCTAAAAAACAAACAAACAAACACACATCCATACAGTTTTTGTGGTTAAATCCAATGCGCATTTTCCAAGTATCGATACAAATCGATTATGTACCATTTCAATCGATTTGTAATCGATATATGTCATCTGGAATGCCGATTTGCGGAGCACAGATCGATTCAGTTGGATCGCAGGAATATTAATCGATTCAGTGGATGAATCGTTACACCCCCAATTTGGAGTCATTGCCTGTAGAACCAGCGCTAGTAGTCAGAGAGGTCCTTAACACAGCTACATTGGTCTTTGCCTGAAACTATTTATAAATCTGTTTTTAATGCAGTTCAAACTTTGAGAAATGGTGTTTTTGAACTTTGCAGAAATCTCAATCTGTGCAGTAAAAATGTTTCGAATTCAGCATGGTAGTAGTCAGTGACGTCCTTAACACAGGTACATTGGTCTTCCCTTGGAACTATTAATAAGTCTGTTTTTATTGCAGTTCAAACTTTGAGAAATGGTGTTTTTCAACCTGCAATTATAGGGTGTTTACTTTGGAGAATTTTCCAAATCTGTACCGTAAAAATGTTTCAAATTCAGTATGGTAGTAGTCAAAGAGGTCTTTAACACAGGTACATTGGTCTTGGCCTGGAACTATTGATAAATCTGTTTTATTGTGTTTCAAATATGGAGATATGGTATTTTTGAACATGCAATTATAGGGTTTTTACTTTACAGAAATCTCCAAATCTGTACAGTAAAAATGTTTCAAATTCAGTATGGTAGTAGTTAGAGAGGTCCTTAACACAGGTACATTGTTCTTGCCTTGGAACTATTGATAACTTTCTTTTTATGGCATTTCAAATATGGAGATATTGTCTTTTTGAACATCCAATTTTTTACTGTACAAATATTTCTTTTATTGTACACCAGTAGTCCTGTACACACATAGTTCTATCATTATCATTGGAATTTGCTATTTAAATTTTTTCGGGTTACTTGTTCAATACCGTAAATGTCAGCATATACGTGCACTAAAATTCAAGCCTCTGCTGAGTTGACCGCAGTTGTCCAGGCATCACGCCCACCTGACCAAAATGGACAATGTCTCCACAGGGTTTTCTGTTGGGATCATGGCACCAAAAAGGCGAGCTGCCTCTGGTGGCAAGAGAGGTGGCAAAAAGGTGAAACAGGAGCCCGAAACACCGGAGCCCAAGGATGCATTCACCTCTGCGAAAGAGGCCCTTCTGGCTGCAGGGCCCCAGGTAAAAGGCAAGAGGAATGTAGATGAGCACTGCTCACTGCCGAGCTCCAATGAGGTAGGAAGGATGGTGCATAACATTAGTATATACTCAGTCACATGAATACACATGGTAAGGTGAAAAACACCGTTTTTATTGTTGCATTGTTTTCACCAGGTACACGAGGACTATGACTGCATGCTCAATCAAACCAACATTGGAAACAACAATAATAAGTTTTATGTTATTCAAGTTATTAAAGACAAATCCTCTTACTATACTTGGACCAGATGGGGTAGAGTGGTAAGTTTGTCCTGGAACAGATTTCCATTTAAAACACCTATATTATATGTTTTTCACTGCTTACACCTATTTATTATATTCAAATATTAGCAACTATTATATATTTGTACACTTGGATGAAAACATCTATATGAGTCCGAGGTGTAAGCTTCAGTTCGGATTGCCTTGTCTTTGATCTAAATTCAGGGGGAAGTGGGACAATCTAAACTTAACACGTTTAATGAGTCCGAGAAGGCTGTCAAGGACTTTGAGAAAAAGTTCAAGGACAAGACCAAGAACAACTGGAGTGATCGATCAAATTTTGTGTCTCACCCTGGGAAGTACACCCTCATCGAGGTGGATGGAGAGCAGGATGCCGAGGTCAAGGTAACGTAAATGCGCATCTCACTGGAACAATGAGCATTCAAAATGAAAAGTTTAAAACCCTAATAATAGTAAAATTTTAAATCTATTAAAATTCTAGGTGGACACTGTCGATGGAAAGAATGTACAAGTCGCGAAAAATGTCCAAGATTGCACCCTTGATGGCGCAACCAAGAGCCTCATCAAACTTATTTTCAGCAATGACATGTTCAAGGAGGCGATGGAATGTATGAACCTAGGTGGGTGTATCTCAGTGTAACAACCCTTAAACACAAACCGGTGAGTGCAGTCTGCAAAAGGTCACTGCACAAACAACCTGTACCCAAACCAACCTGTTGGGTGAGAGTGCCTGTGGAAGGAGGGATTAGTGCCTGTGGAGGGAGGGAGTAGATATGCAAAGATAATCGATTCGTTGTCTACCAATAAATCAACCGGCAACTATTTTCATAGTCGATGAATCGGTTGACATATTTTTCAAAGAAAGAAGTGTCTCTGCAACCGTAAGTGGGACACTAATTCTAATTCCCAAATGTCTTTTTGCAGTTAAAGTTTGATTTCAGTGCTGCTTGGAAATGTTGGAAACTCTGAGATCAAAGAGTACAGAATGTAACGTGTAAATGATTAATCATTGCCACAAACCGAGGGTGAACTCTGCATTTACACAATGCATCCCCTTATCTCATCATTTTGAACAAAACTGCCTTCAGCTTTGCCAATAGGATCATTGCTTTAGAAAAAACAATTTGTTTAAAGGCAATTGTAGTAGTAATCTTGTCCTTGAAATAGGCAAAATACAGGTTGAGATATTTTCTTGGCAAAAACATGATTGTATAATCGATTTTTTTTGTGTTGTGTGTTGCACAGATATAAAGAAGATGCCTCTGGGTAAACTCAGTAAGATTCAGATTGCAAAGGGCTTTGACGTGTTGGAAGAGATTGAGGCAGCAATGAACAAAAAAGGTGGCAATAAAAAAAAAAACCTGGAAGAACTATCCTCGAAGTTCTTCACCACAATCCCACACAACTTTGGCCGGAGCAGACCGCCAACAATCGACGACAAGGAGATAGTGGAGAAGAAGAAAGAGATGCTTATGGTGAGATTTGTTTGGATTATATGTTGGGACGAGCAGATCGTCGTGGATGTTTTCTCAGTCGTAGGGTGACTCTGCTTTCACATGCTCTGTAAAGGTGCTGGCTGACATTGAGCTCGCCCAGACTCTCAAATCAGAGACTGAAAAGTCTCAGGAAGAGATGACAGAGAAGGTTCCTCATCCTCTAGACCAGGACTACCGTTCCCTCAACTGCAGCCTCACACTAATGGACAAGGACTCTGATAGATTCAAGGTACTGTGTCAAAAGGGATAATACGGTTCAGTAAATACAAAGCACAGCGATCATCTTCCATTCTGGTTCTCCTCCTGTTCACCAATATTATTCTTCTCATTCGAAGATCATAGAAAAGTACATGAAAGAAACATCAGATAACTATCGGAAACCCAAAATCGTCAATGTCTGGGAAGTCGATCGAGAGACTGAGGTATGAAGAGGAGATTTTGTGTGATCCAGGAGACTGAAGTCGTGTGCTCTTACACACACTTTGCCCATTGCAGGGAGAACGCTTCAGCGAGAATGACGGTCTGGAGAACCGCCGTCTGCTGTGGCACGGCACGAACATAGCGGTGGTGGCAGCTATCCTGAAGAGCGGTCTGAGGATAATGCCACATTCAGGGGGCCGCGTTGGCAGCGGTATCTATTTTGCATCTGAAAACCGCAAGTCTGCATGTTACGGTGAGGATGAAGAGAGGGGGAATGAATAATGGCATTGAGTTCAATTACAAACAAAAGATGATTACTTTTAACATTTACCATTTTTTTGCATGTAATTTAAGTGCGGCCATCTAAAAACACTGGAGTGATGTTTTTGAGCGAGGTCGCCCTCGGCAAAGAATTCACCATCACTAACGACGATGGCGCCCTCAAAGAGGCTCCGGCAGGCTACGACAGTGTGGTGGCACGAGGATCCGTGGAACCAGGTACAATACTTCCTCAACTTTACTACACACATTGTTTTTATAAGTTCTCTGTCAATATATTGAGAGCACCACAGGTCTGTAGGTAACCGGAGAGGGGAGATTTGTTATTTGCATGAAAGTAACTCAACTTGCAAAAAGAACAGGCATGAAAATCCCTCACCTTTCGGCGAAATTCGCCGTTTTGAAACCAAAATAGGTGACCTATGTGAATCGTGTAGATTCTGTGATTTTTTGGGGGGGGGGTATGGCGGCAAATCACTGTCAAAATTCGAGAGCGCAATTCAGGTTGATGCACGCGAATAAATCAAACATCCGCGAGCAAAAGTCTGGTCTCGTGTGAGCAAAACTTTGTCTTGTGCAAGATATTTGCTCGCTCGTGGAGCGTGAACTTCGTTGCTCTCGAGGAGAATCTCTGCTCGCGCTCGAAGGAGTTTTCTATGCGCTCGCTGTTTTTTTTTGACAGTAAGGGGGCAGAGCCAGTCACCATGGTCTCTACACCTGATTGGTTACAAACCCCGTCTTTGGATTGGCCCGAGTGATGCATTCACACAACTATAGAAGCCCATTTCGGCACTGAAGAAAGGGGATAGAAAGTTGAAATTATGAGATAAAACATTGTCAAAACACAAACGGCACCTCTCTGTACCGGGAGTGGACCGTAGATGACAACCAGCTACAACCATAAGGGAAGGGAGCGCGAGATTCAGTGAACTGCGAACAGGTGGGCGTGTCAGAAGGGAGTGCGAGATCCAGTCACTGAATCTCTTCAGTGACTATTCTTGAATATCGTGAAAAATATCGAAGAAATTACACTGACTAGTGCTACAGGCGGAATATGTGCGCGGGGGTTAGTGATCTACCCCAGTGGTCCCCAACCTTTTTTTCCTCACGGACCGTTTTCATGTCAGACAATATTTCGCGGACCGGTCGAGAAGGTCCGCCGGGGAGGGTGGTGTAGTAGTCGCGCGCTCTGTGTTCACTGGTGGGCGAAACTGCCGTGCACGGTAAGAGGACAATTGTAAACGTGAAGAAAAACGCTTGGTGACGCGTGGGGAATCTGTCAGAGGGACGAGTGCACACAATTAGGAGAAAATCCGGTCAATTTTCAAAATAAAACCTTTTTCAGAAAATATATATATATAAGCTTTCTGTGGTGCGGCCCGGTACCAAACGGCCCACGGACCGGTACCGGTCTGCGGCCCGGTGGTTGGGGACCACTGATCTACCCTGATAACTGCACATATTAAGTGTTATCGGCAGAATATCTGTGGGGGGGGGCGTGGTGGTTACAAACACGCACGCGCGTGCAGGCACGTCAGTGGGCCGCAAATTACTTTCTATTCAGAATGGTGGTCCCTGGGATAAAACCAGTTGAAAACCCCTGCCCTAGAAGGGTAGTCTCCTTCTCACCTTTTTCACCCTTGACCCGTTTTCATGCCTGATTTAATTTCAAGATCATGTCATCTAAAAAAAGTAACATACCTGACTTGATTTTAAGGCTTTTCTTGGGGTAAGTTTGCTTAATCCTGTGTTGTCAGATCCATCCAAGGACACCATCATCACCCTTGAGGGCAAGCAGGTTGCTGTTCCTCAGGGTAAGCCCGTAAAACAGCCGCAGTTCTCAAACAGCAGGTTCAGCAACAGCGAATATCTCATCTACAAAGAGAGCCAGTGTCGCCTTCGCTACCTGCTGGAGCTCAACATGTAACTCAACTCAAGGAAAGAATCAGGTCCTCTGAAAGAAAAATATAGTCATTCACTTTATTGTTACTATCTAAAAAGACTGTGCCTTCTATTTTGCCAACTGTAACCTCGATACACTGCACTTCTGTACAACTGCTAACTGTGTATCTTAGTTTTCCCATGCATGACACGTTTACACTTGCACTACTATGTTATATTAAGCATCCCAGCTCTAGACTGAGTAGCTCACCCTTTATATACTGCATTATATTATACAAGTAGTAATGCTTATGAGATAAAAAAATATATATATAGTAGAGTAAAATGATACTCTATGCATAGATATGTTTACAGTCCAAAGTGCTATTTGTGGCTCATATTTAAGCACTTACACGTCTAATGTGCACAGAAAGTGCTCCTGCTATGCAAAGTAATGTAACATGTTTGTCATGATAAGCTTGGTCAATCTTGCCTCGAGGGTCTTATAGCTTTGTTATAAATGCCACCATTTGGTGTCAGTAATGAGCTTCAGAATGTACCTGTCGCACAGTTTTGCAATAAAACATTATTTCAAGCCTCAACTTGTAATGTTTTTTTTCTTTTGGATGTTGAACTTGAAGACTAATGTTTTGTAAATATTGCTATTGGACTCCAAAGCTTTATTGTACTGAAGGAGTTGATTTTTTTTGCTTCTCAGCAGATTGTGGTGTCTTGCGTTTTGTCAGAGGGGACTGTCCGTCTCTTTATTGAGAACCAGAAGTTTGTCTGAGCGCTGTTGTTCCACGTTCAGTTCATTGGTTTATTGCCTGCGGTTTACCTGCTGCTGAGAGAGTCTTCATACCTTTGGTCTCATAATTTGCAACAACCCTGCAGTTGTAGAATTTGCTTCAGATGTATGATTACTGATGTGTTTTCTTCTGACATTGAATTTTAGATTCCTCCAGGCCGTGTAACTGCTTGGTCAGAATGTGGATCTTCACGAGTAAGATTTCAGTTCATGTACTGTTAGAGGAGATGTTGGCAGGCTCTGAGAATATGTAGGTGCTTAAATATGAGCAGTCCAATTCTCACTGATATAAGTTATGCTACTTACCCAGAGAGACAGAGGTTAATGTGAGACTCGCCCTGAATTTGGTGGACACTAGGACCGTGGGGAGACTGGGCTTAGGGAAGGGGGACAGTGGAGTGTGTGTCTATTTGAAACCCACAAAAAAAAGAGAAGAAAAACACAATCACACATAATACAATGTGTGACAGTCACTGCCGTACACAGCACAGGACAGGGGAGAGAGTGCTACTGCAGGATGGGGAGAAGAGCGAGAGGAAGCATCATTTATCCTGAAAGGTCCTGATGGAATCCATATTTCTTTCACTAAATGTATATTTCAAAAGGCTGCGTCCGAGTTAACTGGACCTGACAATATGGATGTACAGTTGGAGGACTGACTATTTTACTTTTTTTTAAATAAATTGACTTGCTGGTTCAGGCCTACTCTATCCAAACACGTGAGATATGTGACGCTTTGTAGTCAAACACCTGCTTAACCTGTTTGGTCTGAACTGACACAAACACAGTGCATCATGGGTAAGTCAATTCATACATTATTATTGTTTTTTAAGCTGTCTTTGTTAAGCCTATACATTTTTTACCACACAATAGAAATATATCATAAGAGATATGATGGTATTCATATCAGTAAACTGTTTCTCACTGTTGATCAAATGAATGGCAACTATACTTACTATTCATTTTTATATTATTTTCTTAATAGTCTTTGGAAAAATCTAAATTGATTTCACTTTACCAATTTATTCCCAGTAACAGATTGTGACAGTAAAAAGGAAAATGAATTGTCTTGAAATTGCATAAAAAGTGTTTGCCTTTAGCCATTTAATACTTAAATTGCGTTCCAGCGCTTCGCACTAAGAAATACATAAATGCATATACAGCATAACTTTTTCCCCATACATCCAACAAAAGTCTTCTTAACTTCTTTTTCACTGAGTTAGAGTGCAAAGGAAGAACTCACAGGTTTAGTGTCAAACAAATATATTTGACAGCAGTTTGGGTCTAAAACAACTGGTCATGAACAGCTCAGACTGAGGCATGTCACAGCTTATTGTCCTCCAAACGCATCTTTTCAACATCAGAGTCAGTGGCCCTCAAGGTGGACAATACTGATTTCCCATAAACAAGCCTGGCATTACTGTATTTCCTGTAAACAGCAAGTGTATCTGTTTACACTTAAAACATGCAAGCAAAAAGGTTTTCAAATAGAAATCAGCAGTCTGGGGAAGTTGAATTCTGATTCACAAATGAATCAGTCACGTATGTAAATATTCTAAGTACATTTTTTTTCTAATGGCTACTTACATACAACTTAAATGTTTATAAATAAGTGTTCTTTGTTTCTCCTTAACATAGGGCATCTACAAATTAAGGCATCTGAAATGGAGGATTTTGTATGAAGAATGGCAGATAAGACTGTTCCCATGATAGCCTCTGTGTCAAATCTCTCCCCAACTAATCTCACCACGTCCCCATGGGAGCCCAATCCTACAGTTCCTGCCGACGTGGGCGTCGTCACAAGCTCACAGTCTCAGATCAAAGACCTTTTTGGGTTGTTCTGCATGGTGACCCTTAACCTCATTGCTCTGTTGGCAAACACTGGTGTGATGGTGGCCATCGCCCGCGCGCCTCACCTGAAGAGGTTTGCTTTCGTGTGTCACCTTTGTGCCGTGGACCTGCTGTGTGCCATCCTCCTCATGCCTTTGGGCATCATATCCAGCTCAGCGTTTTTTGGCACTGTTGTTTTTACTATTCTGGAGTGCCAGGTTTACATATTTCTCAATGTTTTCCTCATCTGTCTCTCCATTCTCACCATCACAGCCATCAGTGTGGAGCGTTACTTCTACATCGTGCACCCCATGCGCTATGAGGTCAAGATGACCATCAACCTCGCTATTGGTGTCATGCTCCTGATCTGGATCAAGTCAGTGCTCTTAGCTTTGATTACCCTGTTTGGATGGCCGGCTTATGGGCATCATAGCTCTATTGCTGCGGCTCACTGCTCTCTCCATGCCAGCCACAGTCGCTTAAGAAGCGTGTTTGCTGTGTTCTTCAGCGTCATTTGTTTCTTGGTTCCTGCGGTGGTCATCTTTGTCGTTTACTGTTCCGTGTACAAGGTTGCTCGTTCGGCAGCCCTGCAGCATGCGCCTCCGGTGCCAACGTGGGCAAACGCAAGCCTCACTAAGAACCGCTCGGACTCCATCAACAGCGAGACCACCATGATCAGCACCACCCGTACTCTGCCTCAAAGACTGTCTCCAGAGAGGGCCTTCAGTGGAGGAAAGGCTGCACTTACCTTGATATTAATCGTGGGTCAGTTCTTGGTTTGTTGGTTGCCCTACTTCATCTTCCACCTGCAGATGTCTCTGACTGGCTCCATGCACAGCCCCGGGGACTTGGAGGAGGCAGTCACCTGGCTGGCCTACTCCTCCTTTGCAGTGAACCCTTTCTTCTACGGCTTGTTGAACAGGCAGATCAGAGAAGAACTGGTCAAGTTCCGGCGCTGCTGCTTGACCCAGCCGGCGGAGTTTGGGGCCTCCAGCCACGAGGGCTCCCTTCAGGAGAACTTCCTCCAGTTCATCCAGAGAAACAGCAGCACAGCTGAAACCACGCCCGGCACTGCCGACTCCCGTCCCAGAAACACTGTGGATCCGAGCAATAAGCTCCCTGGACAAATACCTGAGGACCGCCCATAGGCATTGACCAACATGACTTATGGACCACAGTGCTGAAATGTAGACCATGCAAGTTTTTATTTAAGGCAACCATTTCTTCCAAAAGAATAGATTCACGTCACACGTCTATTTTCAAAGAATACTAACATGCCCATTAGTACATTCACATTATTATTGGTCACTTAAACAATTTATCCTGGCTTGATAAGAGGGATAACTTATCTTAACGTGAGGACAAAATCTTTGTTTTGTGCAAAAAATCAAATCATTCAAAACACTGGGTATGGATAACTCATGCTTTTGTCATTGTTGTTTCTATTGCATGAAACATTGAGTGTGGATTTTGTCTACCACCATTTACTGTGCATTACAACTGCTTTGAGGGACCCCTATGATGCCAGTGAGGACAGCTGATACAATTACAACCAATCATTTGTTCAATGCACATGTGGTTGTTGTAATTGCAGAGGCTTTCTCATTTTACGTCAAGTTTCTATAACAAGAGATATAACTTGTGATATAACAAGAAATTGAAATAATGACGGATGTCCCTGTGTGCATTCATACTACCTTTATCTGATTTTAATTTCAAAGAAAATGTAAGGTCTGTAAACAGGAAAAGACCACAAAGGATATTTTAATGTGTAATTCTATGTTGTAAGAAACAATGTGCATTCTACATAGACACAAACTGGTTACATTGTATTCTATTTTGCATTTCAATGCAAGTATGTATATTCAGACGTTATATTTGTGACTGCATGTCATTCAGTAAAGTATTGGAGGTAAATGTGGCAGTGCAGTTGAATGACTAACACAAGGAAAAGCGCTCATGAATCGGAGGGACAATAACCCAGAGTTCCTGTGTGCAACAGATATGCTGGTAGACGGTGAATGTCATCTGCCACTGTCGTCATGGAAATGGAGTGAGCCTGTGACTCACATAGCAACAAGCACCTTTAGACTAGACATGCGCTTTATCTTTAAATTCAAATTGATTGATTGATCTACTAATTCTGACTGTTTTTCACATACACAATGATTAAAAGGCCAATTACCAAGTGAATAGAGGATGAGGTTAAGGTACAAAATGAACTGCAATAATAGTGGCACGGAAACGGTGAGGCAGAGACAGTGAATTTACAAAGCAAATCACTATTGAGCATTGATAATGCTCAGCGAGTGGTAACAAAGTGCTTTTTTTATGGCCTTTGCTGTTTGTGTTGAGTCTTTCACAAACAGCAGCAGTGGGAAATAAAGAATAGAGTGGTCAAAGCACATAACTGCAAACACCATCTTGCTGTATGGCTGTTAACTGGAGTATACACCACTCTTAGGTAACTGCGATTGTGTTCTTAATACTTTGGCGATGAATACTACACTCGCTCTCTCACCAGGATATCTGTACAGGAACCGACACGACACAGAAACATGCTGTGAGACTTTTTTTATCAATGCATATGTTTCGTTCCTCCTTTTTCCTCATGAATGTCTAGCCATTAAACAATGATACCAGCAGTCAATTTTGACATTATTCATCCACAATTCAGGACTTCAGGACAACTGCTGACACAATGTCAATAAAATCTCATTCCATGAACCCTCTTATCCAATCAATGAAGGAAACAGACAAAATACAGACAAAATATAATATTCTCGCAAGGCAGCATCCACCTTTTTATGGTATGTAAAAATCATGTCATCCAAAATCCCATTGGTTTAGATTAACAGGAATGACAAAGACCAGAGGAGATATCTGCGGTTTGTCAAGTAATTTCAGTTGTACCATCACCAAGCGTATTGATATCGAACGTATTGATAACACAACTTGATACCTTTATCTTTTTTATTTATTTAAATGTGTAGTGTTACCTTAACTCCAGCAACATTGGAAACACAGCAAACCAATACTTGTTTACTGATATGACCACCAGTAAAAACAGATGCTGATATTTTCCTCCTCTTTGCTAAAAACAAACAAAGCATGACCAACAGAGTGCGCTACACACTAGCAAATTCTCCTCCTCCCTCTTTGTTTAAATAGTTCAAACAAGAAAAGTTCTAGAAAAAACAGCGACATAGCTTATGTGCTCTTTGTCTGTTCATTATCTTTTCAATATGCATGAGGTCTGAATGCATATTTAATAATCGTATTGTTATTGTCTCATCGGATCCATTTTCCTATGTGGACACACGCCTTGCTCAATACTGTTGCTCATTTCAACCTCTTGAGGAAAAACATTTAACATGTTTATTTCACGCAAAAGAGATATATATTTTGTAAATTTATATTATTTTATATATTTTTTCTATATAATATATATAATTATCTCTCTCTGTACTATTTGTATTGTTTTGCACCGAGGTGCGAGGTTCTTGGTGAAAGGTAAAAAAGGTCAACACTTTACTTGGTAATCAGGCAGGGCAGATGTTAGCTGAATCCATTTGCACATTTGTTATGTGGCTGCATAGTAAGGGTAAGCGTTGTGAAAGAATTACTCCTGAAGTACATCAAGCTACAATCTCAGTCAATTTGTTTGTGTCCATGAGCTTTGCATATCTGGAAAACCGTTGATCTGATCTATTTCCTACTTGAAGGGTGTATGGCCATCAACCCGAGGACGTGCAATGTGCAAGGTGGTGCAAGCTGGAAACGCTGTACGTTCAATAGTAATAAACTTGAATTAACAGGCAAACAGCAATCTGTGCAGAAACTGGGGATGGAGCCTCAAGGGTCGGTGCAATAAATCATGGATGTAGAAGGTGTGAAAGCCCACGGCAGCTAACTGAAAGCAGTTTACTTAGCTGCTTAGTGCTGGATTAATTAATGTTGGAGGGATGCAGCAACAGAACTATTTTTCACCAAGATGGAGGCAACAAGCAGCAGAAGCTGAAGAGTAAAACCACTACTTTCCACGCCAGATATTTTCATCTGCAATTCTAGTCTAGAATAATATATGTAACTAATGTCAACAATACATAAAATCATAGAATAGAAAGGTTTTAAAATTAAATGTCATAAAATTAAAATAAAAAATGTCTATCAAAGTATGTCATTAAAAAAGTAAAATAATAAAAGTAAAATAAATGGTAATCCCTATTATTTCCCTGAAAATGTGTTTCTATGTGGCTGCTTGCTCCCTGTATCACAATGGTTTAACTTAAAAATAATTGTATCAACCTTTATCACATCATTATAACCAGCAGGGGTGCGTCTGCAGTTCTCTTTAGCTGCCGAATATATTAACGTTACAACCGGACTCTTTGACTCTTCTCTGGTGTCAACAAGCGATGAGACGTTCTCCACAACACTGTTAGAACGCTAAATAAGTGCTACAGTGTCAACCACAGCTGTTTTTAATGTACCAATACAGTCAACTCTCAATCATGACAGTGTCAAAATACTCTCCATTTCATATTCCGTCAAAGAAAGAAGTACAGGTTGATTGGCGATGGTCTTTGGCCATCTGTCATGCAGGTCATAATAAGATTTTACACGTAGTGGGTAATATGGAACATGTCACTGAAGACACGCCTTCAAAAGTCAATAAAGACATTCCACAACTAGAAGCAAAGCAGTCAGAAGTCCACTATGTTACATGTGGGTGTCAGTAAAAAGCCTGCAGAGCAGGAAGCCCTCTTCTTGCTACGCCCTGCTCATCCTTTATATTTCAAATGAACACAGCCGTCCACAGAGCCAGGACACCGCTCAACTTATTGGAAATGGAGGACCAGGGATTAAACAACACAAGACCAATGGAACAATGTCAAAGTGAATAGACAATCTGAAGATCTGAAATCCACCCACATGGACGCAAGGCCTCTGATTCCCGACAGGGATCCCAAAAGAGATACTGAAGGTAACGAGTGTGCACTGTCTCTGGGGTTTATTCCACGTAAAATACACATAAACCCTGAGACAACAAACAGCACACAGCACAGGACACCAGCTGACGTACTTCTTTTCTGTTTGGAGAAACAGAGACTTGACGGCTCAGCTGCACAAGCTCTGCATACCAGTCCCTTATGTGACACTGCCAATACAAAGCTGAACTGATGTATTAATGTATGTTTGGTTTAGGGGTAAACTGATGAATTCATTTTAATTACAGTAATAAAGCCTTTAGTTAGTGCAAATGTTTATCTAGGCTTTCAATTTCATTCTCAGGTTGCATAGGACCAATCAATCAAGTGCTTCATGATACTGACCTCAAGTGGGGACATGCTCATGCACACAATTCTATATCTCCCCCTGTCGATAAGATCCTGAAGTACTAGGAATGAAAAAAATGATATTGTTTGATATTGATTTTACTCTCAGTCTTCATGTCAAGAGTTTGCGCCACTATACCTACAAATCCCATCCCCTTATTAGGTATTTGTCCAGGGAGCTTATTATCTTTTACACATTTGAGAATGACTGTCCATGAAAATCCCTTTGTACCCGGGTTTGTCTTGGTCGCATTTGAGGATGTGATAGCAGAGCCTCCCTCCGTGCGGACCTTTGATCACGTGTGGTCATGGAGTCACGCCCTGTTTGTCCAGACTGTGTATCTACGGCTTCATCTCCCTCCTTCTGGCAGTGCCAATCTCACTGGCAGCAGGGATCCTCTGTGCTATGACCAGCTTCCTTCACGTCTGGCTGTAACACTGAGATTACATAGACTTTAAGTATGTGGAAGAACAGGATAAGGATAATAAATAAGGATTATTCAGTAGATGAATAAGATGGTTACCAAACCTTTTCCCTACTACACATTGTCCCTCAATGAGAGCAGTTCTAGGAGTGCAGAGGAAATCTTGTGTTTTATCAAAAAGATGAGCTTGTGTTTTTCATTCCTCCCTGTGTCCAGGTTAATAATGCCTTGTGTACAGCTCGTCCTCATCAACATGCACAGGGATCAGACGGTGTTGGGCAGCATACTGAACATTCTCATTAGCCCCTTGTTTATTAGTATTGGAAAGAGCTGTGGTCGAATCGACATTCATCAGGAAAAAGATGAAGACAAATAGGAAAAACATGTAAATATGTTTTGGTTAAGACTGAAAAAAAGCTAATTATAACAGGTTGCTAATTCCATACATGTAAACGATCATCATGATAATGATCCTAAAATAATGATAATGGTCATAATTACATTTGATTACCTTGTATAATTGCTCACTTGCATGTTGATGTATATGCCAATTTGTCCTTTTTGTGATTATTTTAATGTATAACCCTAAACCAGGTACCGGAACAAGCATGTGTTGATTATGTGAGGTACATTTATTTTAAACGATATTAAAGTATGAATCACTGTGATTAAATACTAATAAATGAAATAAACCTAGAGATTCTGGCTTGTAAAGGAAAAACAGATAAACTAGCAGAATGCAATATCGGCTTTAAATATCAAATGGAATTTCAATTTTGTTATTTATGTAATGCTTTTAAATAAGCTTAATAAAATCTAATCAGTGAAATTAATTAAATAATGACATTTCAATTTGAATGTAATTCATTTTCATTTTTACTGTACCGCAATAGTGATAACATAAACAAATTTGAAACAGCATTTTTGTTATGCATTATTGTTTCCCCCTTTTAACCAACAATGCTGATTATTAAAAATGTTCATTATTAAACGGACAATTTTCTTTTTAAATCATAAAGCCAATGACAGCACAGCATCATACATCGGACATACACCACATTCCCATTTTCAAGGTCATAGTTTAAGTGCAGGTGAGCAGTAGACTTCCATGTGGTGGCTGTGCAAAACTGGCAACTGCACTGTAATGAAATCCAGTAGCAAAGTATAATCATTATGTAGCCAATCTAACTATTAATGGACTCATTTGCTGCTTCTACACTCCAAAATCACAGCAGTAAATCTAAGTAACGTTCACCTTCCAGCTATAAGAATACCCGCTTTCTGACTGGCGCCTGTAGTCAAGAATAGCTAATAGTTGGCCACCGCGCTAGTTCACCAAGACGCTGCCTCAAGCGAAGAGATTTACTCCTTGTGCACAAGTACTCGATTGACCTCTTTCACTTCGTGTCGTTGGAAGTTGTGATGAGTATTCATCGACTTGTTTTAGCACCAGTTTCTCAATCGAGCCGGACTCAACTTCTGGTGCTGTTTGGTTGTCTTTCCCGGCACTATCGAATCACTACTTAGAAGCGGTGGGACTTATTTCCGTTGTCAAAATTGAAGTCTGCATTGCCCGTAAAAAAAAAAAGCCAATAACTGTGACCTCTTCTAGCAAATGTTGAAAATAAAATCACTTTGACACATTGTTAAGAAAACAAAAATGGCTTAGGAGTCAGCTGCCAGTTAGCTTAGCATAGCTTAGCTTAAGAAACCCTTTTCATGAGGGGTAGAGTGTATGACTAGTATGTGACTTTTAATTTGTCAGTTGGAGTTACCTGGTGTGCAATGTAAGGTGGCTTTTAATAAATTACACAAATAAAATGTATTGAGATATTAAGATGGTGATGGACGTATTTTACTACCTTTGGATTCAGCCACACCCTTACCATTATGTTCTATGGCTAAATATAGGTCTGAGAGCCCGGTGCATCTGCTTACATTGAATAAAAGACAGGAGCCAGTGGAGTCTCAGCTGATTGCGTAGACGCCCATAGAGGCAGAGGTATGTCCACCATAAATATCTGCTGAGCTATTTCTGTCTCTCTGCTTTCATGCCTGGCCTCAGCTCCCCCATGCTCCTCTAATTGGGTTGTCTCTCTATCACATGCACTCAGATCTGATTCCACGCCTCCCTTCGTCCCTGTGTTTTCCACCAGAGAACCTGGGTAAGAAATCAAGGCATCAAAGCGTTCTGTTCGTCTGTTCTGTACACACCACTGACTGATAAAGAGCAACAAAGTGCTTGAGATGTTGTGAGACCTTCCATCGTTCCTCCTTCTCTCCCTCTTTTTTGGCACCACCACTCTGGATGTTTATGCGACCTGCTGACATAGAAAGAAATGACTGATAGCAACAACTGCAAAGCTTATGGAAGGCTGGTCAGAGTTTATTTTTGGGGACTATTGGACTTTATGTATTAGGCATTTCTAAAAACAGAAATATCTTATCCCAGCCCCCTGTAGATGAACTTGCTAATGCATTAATGTAATGATCCTGAAGTAGATTCAAATATAATAGCCATTTTCTGGTCCATCATCAAAAATAAAATTGCTAAGAAACATTAACATTAGCAACTATATTTTGCATGCAATATAGGCAAATCCCTCCCTCCAAATCAAACTACAAAATGGCATATTCTCAAATAAAAAAACATACGTATAGAAATAAAATCAAACTATCCGAAAACTCATTACATCAAAAAAGATAATTACATTTATCAGTGCAGGGCTGTGATTCTATTGTCAACTGTTACAGTGCAGAAGAGCTACACTAGAGGGTTTTATCGTCCACATAAAAATTCTTTCCAAAATAAGTTTACTTTTAGAATGAAAAAGCAGTTCCCCAGCTACAACCGGACTAGGAGGATGCAGTTGTGCCTGCTGCCTCACTCTGTGGTGGAAGTTCGTGCCAATGTGTAAACCCTTCCCAGTTCGCCCAACAACTCTGTGTGAAATGTGACACAACCCTGGGTTCTCCTTTAAGGCATGCCTTCTCTCTATGTGTGTATCACTTTGTGTGTATGCCCACTCTCTATGTGTGTGTGGGTGCCTAAGTGTGTGAAGGCTGGCTGTCAGGCCTCCATTTTTACCAGGACGCCTCCAGCAGCTGTCCACTGGCACGCAGGAGGGAGCGTCACGGGGGCGAAACAGGCGTTCAGGAGTGAACCGAAGCGGCTCTCTGCAGTCTCAGCCAGGAAGGTTTTCTCTCACCGTCTTCAGTCTGTGCAGGACCTGCAGCCCCACCATGGCGGATCAGTACCAGTTCAACACCAACGAGGAAAAGATTGTGAAGGACAGCCACACCAAAGAGATTGATCTAATCAACAGAGATCCCAAGCAGATCAATGAGGATGTTGTGAAGGTTTGTGCAGCATGGAGTTACCACCCTTTTTGAGAGATGATTAACTACATTAAACCTGACTTTGAAACTCAGCGAGAAAGTAAATAATGTGGTTTTACAGGTTATCATATTGTCCGAGAAATCTTTAAATAGACTAGGAGTTATTCCTGTGGCTTGTGTAGAACCCAAAGTGTATTTTGGGAATGGGGTAGAAGTGTGTGAAAGTGATACGCTGTGACGCTGAGATTTATTTAGGTCCGACAACTGTTTATCCTGTAATTGTTGCCATGTTAACATTACAAAACATTTTTCAAAGGACAGGGCCAAGTATACATTTGGATCATATTTAGTTTTACTGGATACGGTTATTTTAAACATTTGAACACAAATTAAACATTTAAACATAGTCAACAAGTTTAAAAATGATTTAAATGTTTGCCCACATCTGTTTTAAAGTGGAAGGATTTTTAACCTGATTCAATGTGGTCTGGTGCATCTGGTCTGGCGTTATCTTTTTTTGCCTCACCTCAGCTGTAGGGGGCCATCTCAATAACACTGATTCTTTTGCTCAATTTGACTACAGCAATCCTTCTACAGCTGAAAGAAGCCGTAACCTGGCGGAAAGATTTTAAACAGCTGCACATCCGGCCATTTATTCAAAGATTGATCTCCTGTGGCTATCTGAGGGAAAAGGACAGCGACTTCACATACTGATCACATCCAGTGGTCTGAGAGAAAGGCTTTTAGGTGTAAAGTGTTCCTGTCATGATGTCCTTTTATAGCTGATTCTCAGCTTACAATTTCAATGTGATTTCACAAAGAAACAGGCCGGACCACTTTGGTTAATAATATATGGGTTAGAATAGAGCTTTTAGAACGCTTCAGATCCAGCATTCAAAGTTACCATTATTGTCTTTTTTTAACCTTGTTTTCTTCTATAAAATAAAATTTCTTTCTGAAATAAAATATGTTGCTTTCACAAGCTTAGCCTTTGTAGATTGGCATGTGGGTATTACTTGGAGCCCACAGAGGTCTGGTGGAGGGAGATGGATAAAAGCAGTGTGTGCACTCAGGGATGTATAGTAATCAACGTCTCTCTTAAATGTCCTATAGGTGGACTTTGAGGATGTCATTGCAGAGCCTGACGGTACACACAGCCTGGATGGGGTGTGGAAGCTCAGCTACACCACCTTCACTGTTTCCAAGTACTGGTGCTATCGCATCTTATCTGCTGTCTTTGGCATCCCTGTTGCTCTGCTCTGGGGCTTCCTGTTTGCGTGCATCTCCTTCTGCCACATCTGGGCTGTGGTTCCCTGCATCAAGAGCTGTTTGATTGAATCACAGTGCATCGGCCGTATCTACTCTCTCTGCATCCAGACCTTCTGTGATCCCTTCTTCGAAGCCCTGGGAAAGATCTTCAGCAGTGTGCGCGTTGCACTGCGGAAAGAAGTCTAAGAACTCACACAAAAGCGTTTATAGTAGGATTGGATGAAGTGCGGTATCTTTTTGTACACCAGGAGCTCACCGCTGGCATCTTGCTTACTCCCTCATCTTCTTCACCCTTTATAACATGCTGTTCTCCACCCACCCGTCCTCAAGCTCTGTCCTGGCATGCCCACAGTGCCTTTTGCCACCAGAGGCTCTATGACAGCTGCAGCAGTCAGCATGGTTCTGTGACAGCTCTGGCGCCCCTTGAGGGCTCGGTGGTCCTCACTAAGGGAGAAGACGGCCGCCTGTCATGACGAGGAGCGGCCTGCACTCATTTATTTGTATCACATAAACCAAAGACAATAGCTACTCAATCACAAGAAGTGAAAGGAACTCCCTGACACTGCTGCCCCTGTGGACAATACCGTCTGAATGCATTACAGTAGATCTAGACGTTCTTAAAAGTTCCATTGATGCTATATGGTGCTGTGTCTGGCATTTACCTTTATATTGATTTAATTGGGTTAGACATTCATATAGGTAACCTTATTTAAAAAGCTCTAACAAAAAGAAAGGAATTTCTCGTTTTCTCTGAATCATGTCTTTTTTAATTTGTCACGACTAATGACAGTTTGCAGAGGGAAGAAACATGTTTAGAATCATCCACGCAGATCATTTACTTCCTTTTATTGAAGAGGGATCCGTTTATGTCTTCACTATTCTAATACACTTGCAATTGATTAAACGGTCCCTACAATTAAATACAGTGTTTCTGTGCATGATTCATAGTATAATGTGTGTTATGTCAATCAATCATGAGTAGCATAACAAACATTTTCAAGAGTCACCAAACATCTTAACACTGTGTCCGTGACATTGTGGTTTACTTGAGTTGACCTTGGAGTTGGGACCCACTAGAGGCTGCTGTTGTGTCTTTCATTTGCTTCTATTTCATGTCTGAGATCCATTATTCATGATTCATTGTCACCACGTCCTTCTTTGTCCATTGCTGCAAAGTGTTTCTGTCTGGCCAACTAATTTGTCCTAGAATACAAAATATAAAGCTGAAATGCCTGTAAGCAGTTATAATACGGGTAGATAAAATCCAGCGTTCTGATTGATTGAGTGAGTCACGAGGGTTACATTATTGCCTAACAACGCTCCCGAACTGCTACATTATTGAACGATAAAGTACAGCCTCTTGTACCTTATTGCTTCAATAAAGCATTGATCGGATCAATGAACTGTTTTTAACTATTGTAATTAAAGAAAACAAGTGATTGATTCCCAAAACCTAAAATGGTGATTAAAGATCAAAATACAACCTGCATAAGGAAAGAAATTAACCTTTTGTAAATGATTAAACCTGTTTGATTACAGTCATACAGTACTCCATAAATTACATTCCATATGTATTGACATCTCTAGAAATAAATGACTGACAATCTTTGACATACAGTTAATGGGATAGAAACTAATTATGCAAGGTCAAGTTATCAAGGCCTAAATATAAATATTATATAGATTTTCCTTTACATATTTCTTGGCCACACTCATTATTGATGATAATTCATTTATTGTATTTGGAAGAAGCATGTGATGTATTATCCGGTCGGTTTCTTGGTTCTCAGCAGGAAACCGATGGATGGCCTACTCCAGGTAGGGAATGTGTCCTTACCCCAAGTGAAGGAGTTCAAGTACCTCGGGGTCTTGTTCACAAGTGAGGGGAAGATGGAGTTTGAGTTTGGCCGGAGAATCGGAGCAGCGGGGGCGGTATTGCACTCGCTTTACCGCACCGTTGTGACAAAAAAGAGCTGAGCCGGAAGATCTACAGGTCAATCTTCATTCCTTCCCTCACCTATGGTCATTCAGAATGGGTCATGACCGAAAGAACTGGGTCACCGGTACAAGCGGCCAAAATGGGTTTCCTCAGGAGAGCGGCTGGCGTCTCCCTTAGAGATAGGGTGAGAAGCTCAGTCATTCGTGAGGAGCTCGGAGTAGAGCCGCTGCTCCTTTGCGTCAAAAGGAGCCAGTTGAGGTGGTTTGGGCATCTGGTGAGGACGCCCCCTGGGCGCCTCCCTGGGGAGGTGTTCCAGGCACGGCCAGCTGGGAAGGGGCGCCGGGGAAGACCCAGGACTAGGTGGAGAGATTATATCCCTTACCTCGGAAAGGGGAAGTTTGGGGTCCACTGCTGGAGCTGGTCGCGACCCGACCCCGGATAAGCGGCTGAAGATGGATGGATGTATTTGTAAAACACAAAATTCAAGGTGGATCAAACGTAAAAATAAATGAAAACCTGAAAACAGTATTGGAAGAAATTGGCTTTGCAAAAAAACATGCAATAGTGAATTAATGGCGACGGATGACCTATGTTGTCACTTTCTGTGGGACATTTCACTATATCAGACAACAATTGTTGTCCCGAGATATCTCCAAAACATGATTACTTTAGTTTACTCTTCAAATCTTAACACTATAATGCATTTTTCGGCTGAGGGTGAACAGGAACTTCCAGTCTGCTGCCAGAATTTTGCAGGATCTCAGTGACGTTATTGATTTGTGGTACACAGTCGTTCCTCTGGAACTTTCCAAGCAACCTTGCAAAGGATTTTGGGAGGCAATAGGAACTCTAATGAGGATCAGCTAGGTGGAAATAATAGGCTGGTCTGGGCATTTGTGCTGGTTTTGCTTTTTATTTATGTTTCAACTTTTTTAATAATCCATAACGGCGACAGCCATGACTTACCACATCTAACAATATCTCAAGTAACAGTTTACATGTATGCAATTAATTGAAAATGAAGAAAACGAACAATATAATATACAATACGTTTAACTAGGGAGAAATGTACTCATAACACAACAAACAGGATCAATAAGCTTTGCTGATGACAACAATTGAATCAGTAACAAAGTTGGCCACTGTTGAAAGTGCTTGGAGATATTTGCTTATATTACATTTCTCTGCACTGCAAATATGTAAATATATACAACAATAATGTACAAACAAACAAACAAAAAGGTTCAATTGATTGCTCAGCCTGGTCCATTATTATATTGTATGCGTTTAAGCATACATCACATCCTTAACAATATTCTGTACATCTTTATTTTATCGCATTTTACAGTGTAAGGTACTGTGAAGCAACAAACAAAAGTTTTAGTTTTCTAGAGAGTTTGAACATTTAGCTCCAGGGCAAGAGGTAACTGAAAGAACCGCTGGATATTTTATGGCCGACGAGATTGGTGACAGGCGGGGCAGCTCGAGAAAAAGAAGCCAACGCAGGATGAGTGCTTATGTGGTGGAAGTCTGTGTGATGCTCCTCTGACTGCTCGTGCTTTTAATCACAAAGGTTGAGGAGTTGCTCTTGTGACTGGAGTCAAAGTCACGCTCACAGCTGCACTGGGATGACTTGAGGTAGCGAGTGGAACAGCACAGAAAGTTCTGCCTAAGGTCCTGGAACAGATGCCCAGCAAAGCACATGTAGATCCAGGGGTTGCAGCAGCTGTTGAGGCTTGCCAGCAGCATGGAGATGATGAAGGGCAGAGCTGCAGGAGATCGGAGAGAGAGGAAAGTTATTGTGCCGTGACAACGAGAAGGTTTTGGTAAAAATACGTGTAAACCTCCAGAACTTTGGCAATGACCGGACTTTTAATCACGCAGCACCATGACCCAGGAGCTTCCAAAAAAACAAAACACTACACAGATACAGTCAACTAACTCGAAGCGCCGACTCCTTTATGAAGTACGACGTATGATGGTTAACATATAACATTACCTGCTAAATATCAGCATGCTGACGATAACCTGCAGTAGGTGCCAGCCTCATGGAGCAGCTGGCGTGGCTGTGGACTTTTATAGTCTTGTTTCTTTTTTGCCAATTGACTATTTTATGTAAGTGAGTTATGGCTGCAGAATGGAAGATGCAAAAGTGTTTCTAATTCTACATTTGGCCTTTAGAGTCCGTGCCTCCTGCCTGTATTGTATGGTAGGGGCGTGGCTCAATCTGAGCTCATCCAGACTCCTTGATTAGACTTCACCTCACCTGCTCAGGCAACCAAGCTGCTTCAACCAACAAATCACCTTGCAGTATATCTACTCCAGTTCATCCACTCGTCACCAGATTCGCCGTTTCAACCAACCTGGTAGCTACTGTGTTTGGCTGCTCTGTTGTAGAGTTATTTCAGAGATATACATATGTTGTTTTCCTGCTTTTCCTGTGAGCCTGTCTTTGTGTCCTCGCAGTCATTCATCCTCCCGGTTGCCCAGTCTGTTTGCATTTCCCTGCCTGGAATCCCCTGACTGTTTCCATGTAGCTGTTTTCATGGCAATAAATAAGTTGCCCCCGTACTGGTCTGGTCCCCTGGTCTGTCTGCTTTTGAGTCCGCCACCACATTTCGTAACATATAGGCCACACAACGTGGCACAGTGGATGATACTTGAGCTCTACAACTACACTATCCAATTGACATTTGGCACATTAGATTACGATTCATGTAATTTGCTTGAATCTTGTATTTAACCTTTATCATCGGTAATCGGTCTGTCCGCGTGCTATTCTCAGGTTGTCTCTAATGGCTCATTCATCAGCCATTAACAGTTTGATTCTTTTGAGAGTAAGTTCAAATGAGTGCTGTTTTTCAATCACCCTTCTACTGCGGTGGCATACGCTTTATAGTCTAGCTTTGGGCAAGCGTTTTTTGGCTTTAATCCTTGAAATGTATACAAATGAAAATTGCAGTATATAAATCTTTAACCCAAATAATAAAAAGCCAGCAATGGAAACATGTTAAGCTATTGGCTGACATTATAAGCCGTGCTTCTACCTGCTCTATGTAGACGATAATGCTGCTGACAAAAGGATGAATGAATGCACGGTGCAAAAGACAACTGCTGTTTATCAAGCAATCTTATCAGGGCAGATGAGAGCGGAGCCTGGATGTAATTTGAATAACGGGAACTATCAAGCAAATGTCTTAATCAAATTAGCTCATGCTGACTTGGAATCAAGCATCACACAGCCAATGCAAAGGCATCATCTGAATGATCATCCAGTGTTTCCCCAACCATTATACATGGTACCATTATACCCCGCCCTCGGTGGAGAAGTGTGCAATTAAAAAAAGAACACTGATATGATTATGTCACGAATATGTCTGTGTGAGCTCGCAGCAGCGGGGCAGAGTGACCACTACCCCACCGTTTGCCCGACCACTCCCCTCCCCCCTCCCGCTCAGCCGAACCGTTTGTCTTTGGCCGACTATTGACCCCTATTAAGAATTGTAAACCTAAGGGAAACACTGGATCATCCCCATGCGTGGTACATCCGTGTGACAGTCAGAGGAGATGCTGGTCAGCCCCCAAATGACTCTGCAGCAAGTCATCAACGAGAAAATGTAGTGCTGATTCTTGGTACCTGAAGGTAAACAAACATTGCAGTAAACTCACTTTCATTTTTTGCATGAAATTTCATTAATGAATAAAATATATTCGAGAGGTCTTTATGACAATGCCTTGTTTTTGTCCCTCTGTGTAAAGACATTATGTAGAGTTTGAAAAGTAACACTTGGAGATGCACTGGGCTTAGTGTAATCGTCATGTAATGCAAGTAATGACACACAGTTGGCATCCGAGTTCACGATGCTCAGCAAGGGAGACGTTAGTGTTCACCAGCTTTTTCAGGATTTTTTGTTAGAATTTGAATCAGGGTTTGACCTTAAATTGTTTCTGTCCTTTACATAATGACATTCGTCTGACTCTTCGAGATGAAAACCCAGATGTCCCTAAAGAAATAAAGCTGAGAGGAAGGCGACATTGACGTTTCCAAATATCCAATCGATGAACCTAATGGCGTGTTAAAAAAGGATAGACTTCCTATAAGTGAATGCTACAGGGAGCATTCAAGGGATGAAGGAAGCAATTTGGCTCGTTGTATATGCATCAAAAAATGCACTACTTGGTTCAGGAGTTCATTTTTTTAAATGTCAAACTATGAACCTCGAAAAAAGATTGCAACATGTTACCGAAGAAGACTACCGGCCTTGATAGTGGCAGGGGGTGAAGAACGTGTGGGAGTATGCATGTGACTGTACTTGTGTGGCTCTTCAAAGCCAGACAGCAACCTTTGTGTTGGAACAACTTGTTCAATGATGAAAATTGGGATTTCCTATCAAATCAATAATAACCCTGATCTTTATCTTCCTTAATCTTTTCACTACCAGACAGACGGTTGTAAAGGTACAGACCCTGATTTGATGTCTCTTCCAAATTGACCAAAATTGAATAACAATAATAAAATCATACTTAATAATCTGATACTTTCTGTTTTTTTACCTCATGTATGCTGGAAACAGAAGTTTTTCAACCCTCTCTCCCAAAGAAAACCCTCTCCCCCGAGGCTTTGGAGTCTGGGGTTCCTTTCCGTCCTTAAAAGGGCACGTGTGGCAAAATCACATTTCACCCCCCCCCCCCCCGCCCCCCCCCACAAACCCTAAATCCTGAACCCTCAGGGACTTAAGTGTCGACTGGTAAACGGTCTAATGTGAGCCTGTAAGGGCTTCAAATGGTGTAAATATGAACAGCACTTTGACATATGACGTCATCTTGACAATGTCAAAAAAATAATTTATGATCCCTTTCTGTAAGTCACCATCTAATGCTGACTTACAGAAAGGGTTCATAAGGGCTCAAAATGTCTGCCGGTGAGCCTCAAACACTGGGCGGTTTGGCAGTGCGAGATAACTAAACCCTAATGGAGCACTGGAGCAGGCCTCAAACGATGTGAGTCCATAGGGGTGGTGATTGGGATTGGGCTATTATCTGCACACACGCAGGTGATACTCCAGCATCCATCCATCATTGCTACACAAACACTGTCACATGTCACTGCCACTTCTGGTCTTTCTGAGCACTGTTCAAGTGGCCATCGGCCATCAGCCTTCCACTGCACTGAGAAATGCTGTGCAACAGAAAACGGATTCATCACTTTCTTTTTCATATGCAGTTTGAAGCCCCTTTGTTGCTCTTTTTCTGGCAACTGTAACTTTCAATATAACTGAGAGGTGCAGCATCAGGGCTAAATATACCTCCTCAGTGTCGAACAATGGGATGACAACTAAGTGTATTGAGCAAATGTTTAACTCCAAAGTGTCCAGGTTCCTTTTCCCTTTTTCAATTCACGAATGCTTTTACATCACAAAGTCTATTTATTAAAGCCCCTATAATATAAACGCATCTTTACTTTACACAATGATATTTCTTAAATTGTGTTTTCAGTTACTAATATAATTCAATTATGGGGAAAAAAGCGCAGGACAAAGGAGAAGTCTTGTTGGAATATAAAACATTCTGTTCTTATGGGTGTGACTATTGCCCAGATTAAGGGATGTAAGGACCACATAAATAAGATGGCTGCTTAGTGGCCCATTGTGGTTAAATGTCAACGACGCACTTCAAAGTGCCCCACAAGCGCAAATAAAAGCTGCTTGGCGCGTGTTGGCGCACACAAATTTGATTAATGATTAGCCGTCATTCGGTCTATGCTGCATGAGGTCAGAGGGAAATTCTGTGTACAGATTTTACCCCTTAAAAGACATATTACTTTTTCTTACAGCGAGTATTTTAAATATTAGAACAAAGATATATTGTTTTGAATTCCTGATGTAAACCAACTACATCAGCAAACATTAGATTAATAAGTCACTCGCCATAAGACCAATTCGGTAGTGAAATACGGGCGTGAGTGCAGAAGGACTTCCGAGCCACCGATCGGCTGGAGCTCCTTTACTAAACACTGTCCTCCATCCTAGCTGCATTACAACCCCCCCCCCCCCCCCCCCCACCCCCCTGGCGGGGTGTGATATTGGTAAAAAAAAAAAAAAAATCCATGTTAAACTGGCGTTCTTTGTCTCAGTTTGCTTCAACTTGATAGACAAGCGATGGTATCCTCGTGCGTAAAAGGGCACCGTTGGGTAGCCTACAGCAGGAGGAACGTGGCAGTTCCCCAATCAAAACCCCATTGATTTCCACCAGGCGACATTGTCTGACAAAATGATACAAAATAATGGAAAACGATGTAGTCTGTGTCAGTGTTTTCAAACTGTTTCAAATCCAAAATGTATATATATATTTGCGCAACATTGGCGCGCAATATAATATTAAACTTTGTAATGTAACCTACCCTCACGGGGTGCTGCCGAATCCCACGCAGTCCACATCTGAACAGAGAAAAAAGGGGTCCAGCAGACGATATAGGCCACGACTATGACAAAAGTCATTTTCACCGTGGTGATCTTCGCCTTGGAGATGAGCTTAACGCTGCTCACGCGAGTCAGTGTGTTGCATTTGGAGGTTTTGGGCGTCAGGCTAATACACTGCTCACGCCTAGTTTTCAGTTTAAAGTTTTGCCATATTTTGAAGCTTATCAAACCGTAGCAAATGCTCAGTATCACCACTGGAATGATGTATATGGTGAGACTCATCCATGTGATGTAAGCTTTGGCCCCCCAAGGCTTTACGAAGTCGCCCCAGCAGTCGTACACTCCTGATCCGGCCGAGCCCACCTCGATCAGGGAGAAAATGAACATCTGCGGAATGCTGAACAGCAGACTCAGGACCCACGAGCATATGACATAGACACGGTCTTTCCTCCTGTGCAAAGAACGAAGAGGCTGACAAATTGCCAGACACCTGTCCACGGACATCAAAACGAGCATGTAAGTGGAGGCGAACATCCCGACGACCTGTAGGTATTTCACCAACCTGCACAGCATGTCTGGTCCGTAGAACCGAAATGTAATGTCCCAGATGAGCTGAGGGAGAACTTGGAATATCGCCACTACTAGATCGGCGATGCTCAGGTGCTTCATGAAGTAATACATGCGAGACTGGCTGTGCTTCGTGGTGTGGATGGCCAGCAGGACGCACAGGTTCCCCGTCAGCGCCAGAAACAGCACCAGTGCCAGAACAGCCACCTCCACCTTCGCCACTTCTTCATTCCGCTTGAGAGGGTTCGTCTGATTCGACCAACCGGTGCCGTTATCGACACTCGAGTTCCTCCAGGATTCGTTAAATTGCCAAAAGTCACTTTCGTTTGAAATGCTCTCCATTGCCGCAGTCTTGTCCTCTGCAGATGCGTCAGGGATGTGCGGTCATGCAAATGCTGAAACGGTCACAGTCTTAAGCGAAAAAGTCTTCCTTGTGTCTTCAAAGGTGTCAAGACGAAGTGTGAGGTATGACGTGGTTCAGAACATGTTACTTAGGTGATACAAAACAGATTTGTTGGACATAAATCCTTTCCAAAGACGCTTGAAAATATTTCCACTATGATATGAATAATATGACTAAATTCGGGTACCAATAGAAAGTCGAGTTAAGCGGCAGAAATCTATGATGTGGACCTTCGAAACTAATATCTAAGACCCACGAGAAGAACACCTCACTGGGAATAGTTTAAAACCAAAATCCAAAGAATTTTCGGAGAATATAGTCTAGAAAAAGAGCAGCAGAAAATGAAAGCTCCATCATCATCTGTGGTGGAATAAGGAGTGAGCAGCCCTAAGGCACCCCCCTGTTTTATTGTCCCCAGTTCAATGAGAACAGGAAACAGTTCTACCTTTAACCGCCACCAGGGGGCAATGTGAGCCATTCATTAGTACCCATCCAGTCACGCTCTGCTGCTCAGAGCCCCAACCCGCCTCAGATCAATAACACACACACACACACACACACACACACACACACACACACACACACACACACACACACACACACACACACACACACACACTCACGCCTAGTGTTCGATAAATAAACAGCTACTTAATAAACACACGCTCTTTCATCACCTCCCAATAAGACGTGAAAGCAGAGCTAAGAGCTAAAATATTTAAGGTTCCAGGTAAATCATTATTGAAGTATTGTGTGTGTGTGTGTGTGTGTGTGTGTGTGTGTGTGTGTGTGTGTCTGATGCAAACACAGGGTCTCTGTCATTGCATTCTTAAACCCGAAAAGAACAAAAGACCATTTGAACTTGCTAATGTTGTGCAAAGCAATGATTCAGGAGAAGCAACGACGCCGGAGGAAGCTCTGCACAAATGTTCCGGTGCATTTTTAATCTTTGACTGCATGACTTGGGTAAGGCTTTGGGAAATCCTTGATAATGTATAGATGATTATATGCAAAATGAGAATGAGAATTTGCTTTTGCATTAGTGAGAGAATGAGTGTAAATATGTCCAGGTCATCTGTATTGTAAGAAAAAAAGAAGTGACAATTATTACGTGTTACCGTCATACATTTATGGAATAAACAGCTCACAGTGTTTGGGTTTCAGATTTACGGAAATTTAAGAGCAGTGACATGACGACCGATGAGGATTTAGTGCTGACTGGAAACTAAACAGACAAGGAAAAAATAAGAACGTGACGCATTCAATCTAACAATATGATTTGTGAATTCGGATTTAAAACATTTAGTGACTTCCTGTAGTTTTTGGGGATCCAAATAAGATTTCCCAGCATGTGAGGAATGAATCTGCATATAGTATGAAAACAACAACACCAAAATAACAAAAGCAATCTCGTCAACGAAACAAAGTCAGCACTGACAAATGGAAAGTTTAATTAAGCTAGAAGATTGCTACTGCCCAGTAGACAATTTTCATGGATTGATGAGTCCATTTTATGGAAGTTGTAGATGGGGAAAGAACTCATATGAATTCCATCATTTAGGACCAAAAGAAGAAAGAGACAGTCTGCAAAGCTTTTGGGGTCTTTGTCAGAGAAGGTTCTCTGGGACAGCTTTATTACAGGATGAGACCGAAGTCAAGTCATCTTTGTGTCAGGAGTGTTGACTTTCTAAGCTCGTGTGTAGTGAGTGTATGATAGAAGATGTACACAATGTGCAAGATGTTTCTTGTTAGAACCGTGTCTTGTTTCAGGTACTTGATCCCCCAAAGTCTGCAGTTCTGGACTAAATGTCAAAACAAGTTGGGAAGGTCCCTTGAGGTTCCTTAGCTGAGAAATACTGTACAGTCTTACTTTGGAGCGTGCAACTTGTTGCAATGTTTACTTTGCAGCCTTAAGTGTCTTTCAATCCACGGGGTGCTGCTACATCGCTGCTACAAATCCAAAATGATTAGGTGACCGTGTCATGTTTACCAGGCACTCAGGTGGAGAGTCACTGTTAAATACATACTGCAGTAAACATGAAAAACTCACAGTACGGAGGGAATAACGGAGGCAGGGCATTTGCTTTAGATAAAAGAATGGGTGTGTTATTCATTTTCGTTCTGAATGAAGAAAATATAACTGTATTTATAATTAATCTGGTGCATCATTTGCCAATTTCCATCAAGTATGGAAGATAGCCTATTTTTAAGATGATGAGAACAAATTGAGATGACAAGGCTGAGAGAAATCTCAGTGCTTTGAGTAAGTGTAAACCGAGATGAAATTAAGGTTAAAGACAGAAGAAATTCAGGACACTACTGTTTTTTCTGATAAGAAATCACCTTGCCTGACAAAATCTACAAAAATACTGAAAGGGATTAATGTAATGTCAGGCCCAGTTCAGTGATGAAGCAGAGGATCAAAAATTAAGTCTGCAGATAATTTGATATGACGCAACTCACAAATCCATTTAATTACTCTATTATTGTGGTGTTAGATATATATCATGACTTCCTTTGCATAACTATTTTTAGAATAAAGCTTTAAAGGTCTATATATAAGGTCATCCCTTTTTCAAATTATTCTTCATCAACAGTAGCAAAATGCTTCTTTTAAACACTGATTACTTTGCTGTGCTTTACTGGTGATCACGTCCATTTTTATAACGGTAAAGTTATATTTTCCTGTTCTTCTCCAGCCATGTAAGCCTGTGCCGCCCATCTAGTCTCTCTCTCTCTCCCCCGACTCGCTCGACAGTTCTCTGTGCCATTCCCACACATATTGGGCTTTGAGTTGACAGATCTAATTAGAGACATGGTTCGTGCCCAAGCCCCTGATGAAGCAAGGTACAAAGGATCTGCACTACTTCTTCCTGCCCCTGATGCTTATGTATTCACTCAGTGCACGAGGTTCTCAGCCTACCGTCTTGCCTCCAGGTGATCTCAGGTCCTGAGGCGCATGTAGAAAGTTGAGGTGCAGAGGGGTGCTGTCGCTTCTGACTCAGTGGGTGCGTGATATATTCTGCACGCCGGCGTCACTTAAAGCTGAGCCTCCTCAGAGAGGGATGGGCCGCGGAGGTTTCAGACATTACAGCCACATGTTTCACAGGCTTGTAAGATTGAAGGGAACGTAAACAAGAAAAATGAAGTCGTACATCACACCAGCTCGAGACATATCTCACTCGAGTACGGAGATGTAGCTTTCAAACGCGATGAATAATATCGCATGCAGTGTTCTTCAGGTGGAGGGTAAGTGGAGCTTTTTTTGTTGAGTCGGGAGCTAAGACATCTGATTCCAAAAACAATAATAGGATAAGGCTTCCTGTGGTACATCTGGAAAACATGTTCATAAGTGAGTTTGCCCACTCTAAATGGCATTTACAGGAATTAACAGTGGATCGTGAACATACATAATAATATCCCTCAACTAATCCCCTTTTATGTCTGAGGGACTGAACACACATTGTTCCTACCAATAAATAATATCTGGCTTATTTGCTCTAAAAAAGGAAAGAAACTGATACTGAAAGGGCAGCTATTTGTTGAGATGCACAGCAGCCGAGCACATCAGTGTAAAAGCAGTGAACAGAGACTTAATGGGGCATTGAGCTCTGTTATTGGTGAATGGAGCAAGCAAGAGAGTCAGACTCTCGTCCAAAAAGCAATCGGACCTCACAAATGCACCTGCCCCGCCGTCAGTAAACATGCTCGCCTCACAAATTGTGCACTGAGGTGCTTATAGGTTTTACTGCATGTGGACCGAGCGCTGAGGCAGCGAGCATTCACTAAGCAACCAAAATGAGCACTGGACGGTGATGTGAAACATCTTTGAGCAGAAGACCGAGCTGAAAATACTGAATTCGAAGACAATGTAGAGGCAATTGAGAAAAAAAACCTTTGGTAAACCATTTTTTAATGTTGGTCTAGATTACTAATACTCCTGTTTGTCATAAATAAAGGTTTGGTTCTTGTTTTTTTCACCTGTTGAAAGAGGTTCTGCCACAATGATTTCTTATTACTTATCACCATTTGTGAAAAGAGGTGAAAACAAGAAAATTGCCCACAGTGGTGTGCAGGTCTCCACCAGATGTGTCTGCTACCACCACTGTTGATTGAATGTACATAGTCCACAATCGGCTAATCTACCATCCGGCCTGCAGATGTGTCAGATTTGTTTTTCACTTGCATGTTTCCCAGAGCAGAAACACTCTCTATTTAATCAATGCGGACGTCTGCAGCAGCTCTGTACAGGAGCTCAGATCCGTCTCACAGGCGTAACCCTCACTTGAAGAGTTTATTTAGGCTTTAAATATGTTAAAGTATAGCACAACACGGCCGATAGACAAACACCCAGGCTCAAAAAGTGGGCAAACCTTTCCCCCATAGACACACAATCTATAGTTTTGCCTGCAGGGCTTTTTCCGGCCGCAGAGTTCTTATTTGTTCTGTCAAAAAAAGATCTGGCCATTGCAACGTGTTTGTGCAATCAAGGCATTAATTTGCCTTCCACAGAAGTCACCCACTGTGGATTCAAATTGGCAGAAAAAAGTAATGACTTAGCAGATGTAATTAGCAGATTGTTTGGATTGAAACACTAGCTACTTAAACCGTTTTTTGCAGGACTTGAAAAATACTTGATATAATCTGTGCTTACCAAGGTATCATTCTACCTCAGACACTCATTGGACTGAATTTTATTGAAACCACAGACTTGGCACAGAGCTGCATGTGAGGGAGGACAATAAGAGCTCCTTGAAATACCGGTAGCTCGCCTGCTCTCGGACCATTAACTCCAAACACACTTGTTAGCTGCTGGCCATCGGACTGTTTCTCATGTCTCTGTGTGTGTGTGTGTGTGTGTGTGTGGGTTGCCATGGGCTGGCGCTCCGGGCGTTTTGAGTTTACGCTGCTTACATGCACCCGAAGAGGCGCCCCCCTGGTTCAAACCTCCGTCCAGCTGTACGGCCGTGGCTCTGATTTCAAAAAGTAATTCGTGTCAGATGAATTTTGCCACCAGGCACAATGTCACAGTGATTTCAAAACCACTAAGAAGGCTTCCGTCAGTAAACCCGACATGCTCATGTTTTGAGAATGTGCTTGTGCATTTCTAAGTGAAGTGTTGGATCTGCGGTTCTTGGTCCAACAATTGTAAATCTGAAATGTATTACTGTGGGTACACATTGCACTGGCACATCAATAACAACTTTAGAAATAATTACGCTGTGGTTTGTTGGCAAAAACTTTAGGCATCAGTTTCCCTTTGGATTCTTGAAACTAGAGGTCATGAAAAATTCTCGACCCTCATATTTTCCCTTTCCTGATATGATCAGGATTTTGGAAACTGTGTTTCCTTTTGGCTCGGGGCCTCGACC